ATATATATATATATATATATATATATATATATATATCCCTATTCCAATAAAAAGAATAGTTTTATTCTCTTTTTGCCATGTGTCACCCTATTAGGCCTCCTAATTAATGTCATGTCATTTGTTAACCTATTGATTCTCCATTTCAAATTAGAAATTTTAAATTTTCCATTCTAACTAAGTTAAATTAATAACGTTAGAATAAAAATTAAAATAAAACTAATACAGATTATAAGGTCGCGTATTTATTTAAATCAACGTTTATAATTTTATATAACTACAAAATATCTCTTAATTAATAATTTATTTAAACTAATTGATTAATAATTTTGAGTTTTTACAATGAAAGTTTAATTAATTTTGTACCCGTGGTTGCCATGGTTTATAAACTACTATATATATATATATATATATATGTATATATATATATATATATATATATATATGCCCAAAAGTCATTATAAAATGATGTTGCTAGATAAAATATGATCGTAAATGGTCACACTAACAACAACCTGATACAATTGATTATTTATTAGAAATTGATTTTAATAAATATTCAAGAAACTCTTATAATTAATTGGAAATTATTTATTTACTGGAAATAATAATTTTCATTAGCAAGTAACATAATATATATCATATGTTATGATTTATTATGTCATATACATTATTCTAGACTAGTAAGACTTTTGTCTTTTAGCCAAATGCCAAAGTTTATATTTTATAAAAGAAGTTTACAAAATTTATAAACTTTTGCCCTCTTTTATATCTTTATAAGAATGAATAAAAGAAACATGACCTTTTGATTATTTTAAGTAAAAGAAAGCATGGCTTAAAGGTACGGGGAACGTTAGGGACATGTTAGTCTTAAAAGTGTTAAGACCTTAAGGGTATTACCTTTTCTTTAAGACTACACATGAGACGTTCACTCTTGGCTAGTTTTTGAAGAAAAAAAAAATGTATCCTCCCCTTCTCATCTCATTCTCTCTAGTTTTTGCTAAACTTTTGAATAATACTTAATTTCTTTTGCTCTCTTTAGTTCATATTTTGATATGAACTAAAGGTTAAGAGTTTAAGGGTTTTGGACTAGCATCTACATCAAGTTGAAACATTGTTGGTCTCCATAAAGGAGCTACTCCACATTCTCCATCAACTTCCAGGCCTCTCAAGAGGTCCCAAAAAACTACAAAGGTTGTTATTTCTTCATATTCTTCTATGGTGCTTGTTTTCTTTCGAAAGTTTGCAAGAAGATCCATGGTTGGTTATAACCAATTTATAATTGTTCAAAAAAATATAAAGTCTTCCATTTCTAAATCTCTTGTTTTTGAAACTAATTTTAGAAAAAAACCCAACAATTAGTATTAGAACTATCCTTGCGAGTTTGGTTAGATTTTATGATTTTTTGTTATCTTAGTTTTTGGAAAATATAGATAACTTGTTTTTGTAAGAAAATGAGTTCATATATATTTTCTATGACAACTCTATAATTGTTAGTTTTGTTACAAAAGTTTTCATGCATCTTTTGTCATTTTAAAGTTGTCTTAGAAAAACAAAATGTTGTTTTGTGTGAATGTTGATATGTGTGATGTGCATAAACTAGCCAAAGGACCAATGTGTTGTTGTGTTGTTGTATTTGTTGTTTTTGTTATAAAAATGGTTGTAATAATTTATTAATTAATATAATATGTAATAAATTAAATAGATTAGTTTTCTTGGTTTATTTTTGTAAGGAATAGATTCGTTTTTAGAAATAATTTATTGATAAAAAAAAGGGAACAAGAAATGAATATGGATCCATTTTTTGAAGACCAAAAGGTAATTTTCGCAATGTTAAAGTGTGTAGGGGGATAGACTACCTTTCTACAAACTGTTGCAAAAGGTGTTGCTGTTGGCAGTTTTCCTTGGAGCTGTTGGACCTAATGCAACACTTTCTGCAAAATTTTCAAAAAAGTGTTGCATGTTGTTGAATTATTACCTTTAAAAAACTTTTTTAATATTTTGCAAGCAATGAGTGTTTTCTCAAGTGGGAGCTTCTGAAACAACATTACTAGAATATATTTGGTCCCTTTAAATGTCCCTTTAGGAATGGACTTGACATCTTTTGTGTTGGCTCACAAAAATGTCATTAGTTGGTTATGTTTATGCAAATATGTTTTATGCATGCTTGTGTTGTTTATTTTTATGCAATTATTATGTATGGTTGATAAATTAGTTTTTCACAGGCTAAAATAATTTTGGACAAAATAAACATCACAAGGAGTTTGGTTTTCAAAATTTATAATGTGGACATAAGATGTAACAAGTTATTGTTTTAAAATAAAATCAGGTTTTATAAAAACATTAGTAATGAAATTTTTTGAAATACTCAAATATAAGTTTTTAAAATGGTGATTTTTTAAACATATACAAACTCCAAATATATAAGTAATAAATGAAGTATTATTAAAGATATAAAAGGTTCAAATGTGACAACCCGAAATTTCTAACTTATACATTCTTCATTCTTATCAAAGTTAGCCTCGTTTTTGCTATTTTGTAATGAAGTTTTGGGTGTATATAAGTGCATTAGGCTTAGTATAATCAAGATATGAGTCTTAGGAAGGGTTAGAATGTGTGTAGCATCACAAAATCGGGCCAAACACACCAAACAAGGTGTGTGCGGCCGCACACAGCCGACCGCACACCCTCCTAGCCTCACACTCCAGCCTATATAAAGGCCCCTAAGTCAACCTTACACCCTTTTCCCACTCCTTCAAAGCTGGAACATTTTCTCTCTAGAGTTCTTCAAGTTTTCTTCTGCAATCGGCAATACAAGTAAGTAAACATCCTTAGATCATTACTACAACACCTTAGAAGGCCTTTTCCTCGAGTTTGATCCATGAAAACATCGTGTTAAGATGATCTTCATGTGTGTACGGCCGCACACACATCATGTGTGACCGCACACACATCTATTGGTCCTAAAATGGACTTAAACACTCCTTTAAGCATATCAACGACAAAAACACCTTCTTAGGATCATCCCCAAGCCTTGGAAAACCGATTTGGGCACTTTTAGGTGGGAGTGTATGACCGTACACAGGTCTGGCCGCACACAGTTCTGGCCGCACACTCACAAAGGTTGAGTTTGGTGGCCTTACACTCAAATCTAAGGCCCTACACTCATTTAGGGACTTCAAGGGTTGTTAATAACACTTGATTCTAGGTGTTTTCATGTCCCTAAGGCGTGTCCAAGTGTCTATTAGTGGTTATATATCCTAAGTGTATTCATATATGTTGTATTACATGAAAATAGGATTCGTTTGTGCTCAAGACTTCAATTGACACCCGACGATCCTATATCGACCTTTCATTCGAGTTACTCACTGCATGCGAGTTCATACCCCTAAATCAACCTTTCAAATGTTTTAAATACTTTTATGGGGGGGGGGGGGAATACAAGTTGCATCAAACTAGTTATAATATCAATCACTTGTGATTTATAACTTGCAAACAAATGGATTTTCTATACTTTTAACTGTTTTATCAACAAAACTATTTCAGAATGTTTATCAAACTCTTTTACATGTTAAACTGCTTATAAAACTTATTCTTGATTATCAAATCTTTACTTTCAACTCTTTAAACTTATATGTTACCAAACCATGTCTAATGTGTATATAGTTATATAAGTAAGGTTTGAAGGACTTAGGACTGATAACTCACTTTATTTCATGTTCCTTGTTTGGTTGTGGACTTAGAGTACCCGGTTGTTTGTCCGACTGTCGTTTGATCCTTAGTTATATATCATGTATATATGTGTAGATATAAATCTTTTACTTCAGTTCTAACCCTTTGGGTAACAAAGTTGCATATGCTAAGTTACTTATATTACATTACTAGTAA